GGGCGGATCCGGGGCTCTGCCGAGCTGAGGCGGCGGCGCCTGCCCGCGCGCCCCTTAGGGCCGCCCCCGCACGCCGCTCGCCGACGCCTGGCCCTCACGATGATGAAGAAGAAGAAGTTTAAGTTTAAGGTGGACTTCGAGCTCGAGGAGCTCTCCTCGGTGCCCTTCGTCAATGGGGTTCTCTTCTGCCTGGCCCTCACGATGATGAAGAAGAAGAAGTTTAAGTTTAAGGTGGACTTCGAGCTCGAGGAGCTCTCCTCGGTGCCCTTCGTCAATGGGGTTCTCTTCTGTAAGATGCGGCTGCTGGACGGCGGCAGCTTCACCGCGGAGTCCTCCAGGTAACGCGCCCTCCCGCCGCGCGCGCCTCTGGAGCCGCCTGCCGGCGCCTGCTCTCCAGGGCTGCTCATGGGCAGCGTCACTTGCTTTGGCTCCACCGGGACAGCCAGCCTCGTGTGCTCGCCCTTGTCAAGGGACCCGTCTGGGATCAGTCAGAAATGTATTGATCTGCACAAAGTGCTTCGCAAATGGGTTTATCCCAGCTGGCCTGGGCTTCTGCGCTTCTGGCTCCAGATGGTTCCTGGTAGCTGCTCTTCCCTCCCAAATCCTCCAGAAATCGGAGCGAATAGCTAGAGGGGGTTGGGGGGGGGGTGCTTTGGGTTTCTCTTAAAACATTTCTATGTTTGTGAAATGCAAAGTAGAATTTGAGCTGTTGTAAAAACAAAAACATAACGCAAAGCGCTCCAGTTCCAGGAGTGCCTGTTCTGAACAGAAGCCTGTGCTTAAGCGTAACTCCCTCTTCCTCTGGGTTACGCGGGGGCTTGGACGCCCAGTCCGAGACTAGGATAGGCCTGGTCAGGCTTGACTTGAGTCAAGTGTTCCTGGCACTCAAGGTAGCAGTCTGTGACCCGCAGTAGCTTTGATTCCAGTTACGCGCTAACACTCTGCGTTACTGTCTAGAAGTGGCTACCAGTGAGTCTTGGTGTAAAGGACTTAGAACTAGAAAAGGAGTCGGGGGTTCCGGTCTCCTTTTGAAGGAGTCCCTGGGCACTTCCATGGAGACTCATTAGCAGGTGATAGGATGAAGCCAGGTGTGGCAGTGTTCTGTGAGTAATTGCAGAGCTATTCACCGGTTTTAGATTTACCCTAAATTCAGCGTTTTCAGTTGCAGAAAATAGAAAAAGAACTAAAAATGTACTTTTGAGTTCCTGAAATCAAGGAAGAGTTCATAGTTAATGTTTATTTTGTCTGTATACACTGGTCATAGCGTGTATTTTTACCCTAAAACTATTCTACTTTCCTTTTATCTGTCATTCTATTAATGATATAAGAAAATAACCACAATGGGTTGTGAAAACAGGTCCAGAAAATTGTCCACTGTGGCAATACCCGAGCCTGTGGAAGCCAGAAAATGTCCAAGTTGGCTAAACCAAAGGATGTATGCAGTACAATTGATTCTCAAAATTAAAAAGTAGTCCTCTGAGGATAGTTCTTAAATTAAACTGTGATGAAAAAAAAATCTGGGGATATTTAGCTAATTAATTATACTGTAGTCCTTTTTTAAAATTGCCAGTGAGTGTGTGCACTGCCAGAGACACAAAGAGAGAGTAAGTGAGAAAGCATCTCTCCATGGAGGATGGTCATACCACAATCCCCTTTCCTCCCCTTCTCCCTTCTTTCAGGATTTTGGGCACACATACACCCACCCAACGTATTTCCAAGGCCACCAAGTCCAGGAGTCAAACTGCAAGTCAGCCATGTGGGATCTACTCACCTTAATCCTCATGCCACCTGCTGGCCCCTGCAGTCGTTCGCAACACACCTATAAGAAAACATTCTAAGTAGAATTATGAAAAAAAAAAATGCACCAGCTTTTAAGATGTTGAAAAACTTAAGGCAGTTGATGAATACCTTATGGGATAAGTGACCTCTGGCCCTGAGGCCTACACTGTTTTGCTACAATGTCCCACCCCCACTTTAGGCAGTTAGACCAGTGCTCCTGGGCCATTGATGACACCTGGTGGTCAGGGCGCTTGTCTACTCCCTTTCTCCCTCCAAATATCAACTTGGCTCACTTCTTTAGTCGATTTTTGTTGTTATAGGCAGTCGTTTATTCCGTCATTGTGTCAGCTGGTCCTCTTAAATATGTTATACTTCATTCCCAAAGCAAGCCAATGAGGCAGGGACCTACATTTTTTGATAAATAAAGTGAGGCTCAGAAAGCATCACTAACTTCCCAAGGTCCCCACAACTAGTGAGTGCAATGATTCTGGTACGGATCTAACTTCAAACAGGGTGATTCCAGGTAAAGGAAAAAAATGTATGCTATTCTGAAAAGTTTCTGAATAGGGAGCTTCCCAGTAGTTTTAATGATGAAGAGGTATAATTCGATTTGTACTCTTCAAGATTTAGGAATCAATAAGTCACGTCTCCTGAGTTAAATTTACTCTCTTCCAGCTAAAATATGACTTTATTCACAGTAAACAAGGTTAAGAATAGCGCTCTAAATAGCCAAAGAAACAAAAGACCCATCGAGTTTGAGGGGAATTATTTATAATAAGAAGCCTGTGCTTTTAAAATAGATTTAGGGGTATAATTGACGCAAATGTAAGAGCAAGAGTTTGGAATGAGGCAGGGCTCAGCCTAGATCCCAGTTGTACTGTGGTAAACCAGATGGGTTACTTCCCCTATCAAAGCTCCTGCCTGTAAAACAGAAATGGTCATGCACACATGGGGTTTCCGTGAGGGTTTCATCAAATGAGCACCTAAAAACACTGAACAGTCCTTTAGCACCCAGATGGTATTTTTTAAAATAATTATTTTATTTAACTTTATTTATTAGTGTTATTTTCCAGTTTGATCAGAGAGAGACAGAGAAAGAAAGAGAGGAAGCAAGAAAGCAAGCCACCAGGTCTAGGACTTGAACCTCAGTCACCATGTGGGAGTCCAGCACCTTTATTCACCATGCCACCTGCTGCCCTCTTCCCCCCCACCCCCTTTTGGCATTTTAAACAGGAGATGAAAGGGCCAACTCAGTAGTGCAGCAGTGACACACTGCTCAAGCAATGTTGGGTGCATATGGAAGATCACAAGTTTGCTGCCCTGGTTGACTGGTACACACCAGGAGTGTGGCCACAATCCTGGCAGGCTGGGACAGCTGGGGGAGAGAAGGGGTTGTGGCAGTAGACCCTGTTGAAGGTACTTGTCTTTCTTGCTCTCTGTCTCTCACGCTCATGAAAAAAATAGACAAAGAAAAAGAAAAGGAAGAGGAGACAAAGAACTCGTTTAAGAAGAGTCATTGGCTTTAGATCTTATCGTCTAATTAATTTCTTTGTCCTGCAACCAGAGAAAAGTTTGAGAAAGATACCTTATTTAATTGAGGAGAAAAAGAAAAAGACCTGAAATACATAAAGGAAGTGAATTTTTCAAGATGACATAACTTAATTAGTGGATGCCAGTCTAGACAATGTGCATCTCTGATTAAATGCTACATTTTAATTTTTTTTTGAGAGGTTTTTGCTATAGAGCGTGTGTGCTCGCCAAAAAGAGAGAGAGACAGAGAGCGAGAAATCACCCCCCAGGGGGGATGACCATGCCACAATCCCTTCTCCTCCATTCTCTCGGGATCTTGGGCACACACGCACATGCGCCTGGCGTGAGTTTAAGCTACCAGGTCCAAGACTGAAACCCTGGTTGGCTACATGAGAGTCCAGCAATGTAGCCATTACGCCATCTGCCGGTCTCTAGATTTTAATTTTTTTAAAAATCACTTTATGTACCCCATGTAAGTCAGATATAGTTAACACTGTAACATTTCTCCAATAAGAGTATGAAATGGAGTACACAGAAAACGGTTAACATAGCCATCCTAAGACTCCCATCCATAGAAAGGCCTGTTATGGGCCAGCTTGTGGCATGGTGGTTAAGGCAGCTGGATCCCACATGGCCCGCTGCTCAATTCAAGAACTGGACCCAGTGGCCTGAAAAACAGAGATGCATGTGCACCTGTGCCCAAAATCTCAAAAGGAGGGAAAAGTGGAGAAAAGACTGGTGTGACCATCCTCCATGGAGGTGCTTTCTTACTTTCTCTCTCTCTCACTGTCTCAGGTAGGTACCTGTGCCCTCTGGCAAATACATTTTTTTAAGGTATTTATTTGTAATAAATGTTATTAGAATGATCAGCATAAGTAGTCAGCTTTTATAGACCATGGTTAATAAAACATACAGGAAAATACATTGTATAATTATATTCATCTAATTGACTGAAGCCAAATTTTTGCCTTATAATATATTTTTGAAGGTCTTTCAGAAGCCCAGAATGTTAGGCTGTTAAACTTTTTTTCAGAGCTCTTCCTTTATGAAAGCATTTAAATCACCCTGGAGGTTAGTGAAGACTGTCAGAACAGGTTTAATTTTGGCCTGCTTAAATAAAGGAATACTAGCAAGGAATTTTTCTTGTGTTTTTTAGGCTTTCCCAACTTTGCCTTACTTTGTTTATCATTTTTTGTTCTGATATCCAAACACTTTTCTAGGTTTCACATGGGCTTATGGAAAAAACAAATAGGAATTCAGGGAGTGTCCGGGAAGCTAAAGAGCACATCTGTGTATTATATCTTGTACTTTGTAAACAAGCTGAAAGGATTTCTTTTTTTTTTTTTTTGGCCAGAGTATATCTTTAATTTTTAAGATTTTAATTTTCTGCACATTGTGTCCTTTTTAGTAACATTTTCCTTATTGCAAAAGTAATGTAGATTCATGAAAACCTTAGGAAAAAATTTTTAACTAAAGGAAAGAACATAAATCCTCACAAATAAACCATCCAGAATTATTCATTATTATTAATATTTTGGTGCATAACTTAGGAGCCTTTATTGGTACACACATACCTTCTCCTACACAATTATCACACATCTTTTTTTAAACCAGTGAGATCACACTGTATTTCATGTCTTTTTCACTTAGTATATCTTTCCATATCATTAAATATTTATTTGCAAAATTATTTTTAATAAATGCATGCCATTTTGTTGTATGGATTTCCACAATTTATTTAACCAAGCCCTTTTTGAATAGTCTTTCTTGTTTATTAATGCTTTGGTAAATAAACTGCAATGAGCACCTTTATAGCCAAATTTCATACATGTACATCATTATTTGTTAAGCATTAACACTTAGAAATGGAATTACTGATCCACAGGTCATGCAGGGTTTTTTTTGTTTTGTTTTGTTTGTAATATATGTGTGTGTGTGTGTGTGTGTGTGTGTGTGTGTGTGTATATATATATAATATAATTTTTTTTTGCCAATGAGCTCGTACAAGGGAGACAGGGAAAGCACCCCA